TCATCTTAAAAAAAAAAAAAAAAAAAAAAAAAATCATGTAGAAAATAAAAAATGCATAAAAAAATGATTAATCTTTGTTACTGGGTACACAAGTATAAAGATGTAATTTGTGAGTTCTGTATGCTACTGAAGTTAGTATAAACTCAAATTAGACTTAGAATTTCAGGATGTTAAATGTAATCCCCATGGTAACCACAAAGAAAATATCTACAGAAAATACACAAATGAGAAGGGAAAATGTGTCACTGCAAAAAAAGTCAACTAAATACAGAAGTCAGTAAGAGTAAATGAGGGACAAAAAAGTTATAAGGGGGCTTGGCCATCTAGCTTAATTGGTTAAGCATGGTGCTGATAACACCAAGGTCCAGGGTTCAATCCCTGCATGAGCCAGCCACCAAAAAAGGAAAGAAAAAAAAACATGTAAGGTATATAGAAAACAAATAGCAGAACAGCAGAAGTTCCTCCTTATGAGTCACTACTTTAACTGTAAATGGATTAAGTTATCCAATTAAAAGACAGAGACTGGCAAAATGGATTAAAAAACATTGTCAAATTACATGCTGTCTGCAAGAGACTCACTTTAGATCCAAAGACACAAATAGGTTAAAAGTGAAGGGACAGGTTGGCTGGTTAGCTTAGTCAGTTAGAGCATGGTGCTAACACCAAGGCCAAAGGTTAAGGTCCCCACACCAGCCAGCTGCCAAAAGAAAGAAAAAAAAATTGTAAGGATGGATAAAGATATTCCATTCAAATTGCAACTAAATACTTTACTTTTAAATCCTTCGGGCTGGTCCGTGGCTCACTCGGGAGAGTGCGGTGCTGATAACACCAAGGCCGCGGGTTCGGATCCTATATAGGGATGGCCGGTTTGCTCACTGGGTGAGCGTGGTGCTGACAACACCAAGTCAAGGGTTAAGATCCCCTTACCGGTCATCTTTTAAAAAAAATAAAAATAAAAATAAATCCTTCAAGTATGCTGCAAAAAATGTGAACTATGTCATGATTTCCACTGATGAGTTCTGTGTGCATCTAATACTGTGAGTCACTCTAAATGATCATGCCATTTTCAGTTACCGAACAAAACATAGTTCTTACCATGGACTTTTTCGTATTCTTGTAGTATGGGTTCCATCCTATGCTCACCACCATCTTATGGACATCTCCACTTCCAACACTGGCCCAACCATAATAAATGCCAGTGGATACATCAGCTGGAAGATTATCTACTACTTGTTCAGGAAAGTTAGCTAAACAAGAAAAGTACATATTCTGTTACAAATTTCATATAAAATATTTGGAAAAATCACAAGCAAGGCTAATCTAAATCGTTACACTCACAAGATTCCTAGGAACTTACCTATGATTATCAACCCCACAGATTTTTTTTTTTTAGACCTGCTCTTTCCTAAGTAGGTTCTGAATCACCTGAAAAGGTTCTTATTTTCAAAATACACAAGCCTAGGCTCCAAGCTCCAAAACTAATTTAGTAGGTCAAGGGGCTGCCCTGGCATGTATTTTTAAGGATGAATTAAGCAGTTAAGTCCCGATTCCATAATAAATCTAATGTACACAGGCCAAGAACGATAGCTGGCTCTCATTCAACTACCCGTGCATCACTTTGATACTGTATGATAACAGAAAACCGAGCTGCCCAGTTAGCTCAGTTGGTTAGAGCATGGCATTGACCACACCAAGGTCCAGGGTTCCATCCGTGTACCCGCCAGCCGCCAAAAAAAAAAAGAGAGAGTCAGCCAATCTGACCCACAGTGCCTTTCTACTGGGCAAGATAAGAGCAATGCTTGGCAGGACAGGGAGGCGGGAAGGGGAAACCCTGGGGACTCACCTCCGGCTTCCCGTCCTCACCACCCCTAAGCCCGGTCCCCCGTGAGCTCGGAGCCAGGGGCAGGGACGAGCTCCCTCAGCCAGGCCAGAGCTCCTCCTCCTACCGAAAGGAAGGGGCAACGGGGCTGAGGGAGTGGCCGTAACCCAGAGCCCCCAGACCCGTCCCGAGCCCACAGGCCGACGTCCCCCCGCCCACGTGGCCCGG